TTTAGTTCCCCCTCAGTTGATCACTATGAGTTTATGTCCTACACCCATGGAAGCAGTTTCTTTCCCACTGGGTGTGAACCCTCGAGTGCTGCGAGCCTGGGACGCACTGTGTTCCAGCTTGCAGCCTTGACTCAACACTTAGCCATTGGCCAGTGTAACCCCTGCCGGCTCTATGCCACCCAACCCGCTCCGAGCTGGTTTCGAACCTGCAACCTTCCGCATGGGAGTCGGTGCTCTACCAAGGAGGCTAAAGACCATGGCCTCTAGCGTCTGTCGCTAGAGCACCTTTTTAGAGGTCAGAGGAGTGAGGTTTACCTGCACAGCACACACACTAGCTGGCCTCCGTTACACCAGGAGGTTGCGATTAGAGGACAGACTCCTTCCTCTTTCAACCTACGGGACGGTGGGATCAGGTGAGCGTGGCAACATGCTTGCATACTCTTCCTCAGGACATGCTGCTTTCCAAAGTGGGTACTCCCGCCCGAGCTCTGATGGAGTCACTAGCACTGGCTCCGTCAGCCTGTTTAGCCCTGCATAGCTTGGCATAGTGGATCATTGGGACAATCAGAATCGGCTATGCGATTCAGTTTGCCAAAGAGCCTCCAGGAGATTCAGGAGTGTGCATTTCACTGCGCTAAAATCCGCAGCTGCCCCTGTCTTGTAAAGCAATTGCTGTTTTTTGGCGAAGGACACAATCAAGCCTCTCATCCAGCCAAGAGGGAGTGCGTGTTTTTTAACCGTTCTTCATCGCATCCCATAAGCATGGTGGCTAATAGCCGATCCTGGTTCTGTGCCCTTTTTGAATGGTTATCTTGTTCGCAAGTGGCCATTCACTAAGGGCGAACTCACACTATGCTATCCGAACCGTGCCCAGGCCCGTTTCCCAGATCGTTTGAGAAGTGTGAGTGCTCTGAATCGGCTCAGGCACGGTTCACTTGGCCGGCCCTGGCCTAATTGGAAGAGGTGTGCCACAGCGCTTTGGCGCAGTACGCTTGTGTGTGAGTGCAAAGCATGCCTGAGCCGAAACAGGAGACGAGACGTGACTTCAAAAGGACTGTTTCAAATGTGTTTAATAATCAATCTTACTGTTTAAGGAACGCAAACTGTTGTAGTTTATTAAAGACGCAAACCCCTCACTGCATGACAGCTGCACCTTCAGCAAACCTCCAAACTCCTGCAGCACGAGGACTTTATAATCGTTTATGAGCGTCAAAAGTGGCTGATCTGTTTGGCAAAACATTTGACTGTGTGTCACTGCATCTCAAACGACTAAGTGCACTGAGACTCGATTGCCATGTGAGTGCGGGCCATTAGGCGAAACGGGAAGAGGGACAACTTCGGCCCGGTTTAAGGCAACTGTACATAGTGTGAGTACGCCCTAAGCCTATGCAGTAGCACATCCTCAGATGTGTCCATCCGCTGGATTGGTCTGCAGCATCTGACCTGAGGGCATGTGCTTATGTCTCGACACCACGTGCCCCTGTCTGCGCTCTGGTCGAACATTTCATTAAAAAGTCCCACCCTCTCTCTCTCCATGGGTCATCACAAAGATTTTGGGTGGTTTGCTGTTACCTTAGTGGTTGATGACTGGCTGTTCAAGCTCGGTCTCGGGTCTAATCGAGGAAGCACAGAGACATGATGCTCCGGCATCACAGCCAGGGGACAATTCAGGTCAACTGAAAAAAAAGAGTCCTCTCCCCTTCGTGTGGAGTTGATCTTTTCTTGGGATGGAGCGGAACTCAAACGGCATGTTGGTTGGCCCCCGCGTCAGTGCTGACCTGTTGGAATAATTCGATAAGAAACAGTGGTCACTTTGAAAACTTTAAGAATCTCTTGGGGCATATGACGTCCGCAGGCAACTGTGCTGCTCGAATGGGACATATACCATTCCGGGTAAGCTCAACCTGCAGTCTACGTGCTCTCACGGCAGCTTTTGGTACCAGGAGAAGGGTGGCTCCCCTTGGTGCGGTCCTGTTGCTATGGGCATGATTCAGGAAAACCCAGGTCACCCTGTGTGTTTTCTAGAAATCCACCCACTTTCAGCTGTGTCTTCCCTGTTCACTTGGCAAGGAAGCACTGGTTCACAGCTGGCAACTGTGAAAGCAAGCGTGCGCAAGAATGCGCTTTTATTTGAGCCCTTTCGAACAGACACTGTGCAAGGTCAGGCCTTTATATTCCTAATTGCGGAGTGGCTACACCTGTGAGAGCTGCACTTGCCAATTTCATAGGCATTCCATTGGATTTATTGGTGCTTATAAACAAATCCCCTAGTCGATCAATTTGACAAACATCTCCGTACCCTCTTTTGGGGGATGAGTGTTACGTACATAACCAAGACGTTATTTTTATGAATTACATAAGTGCATATAATGTTTTTTTCATTGTATCTGTCAAAATACAAGATGATTATTTGCTAAAAAAAATACATTTATATTTATTATATTCATAAGACGAGACTAAATTCTCTCTTTAAAATCTTTTTCTATAACATTCCCAGCAGTGTTTCAGTCTCTGAGATGCTGTTTCTGTTTGTTCTGCAGGTGTGTTTGGTGCTGAAATGAATGTGTCGGTGTCAGTGATGGAGGGACAGACTGTGACTCTTAACTCCAATTTTACTGATATGAAGGGAATAATTCGAATGAGGTGGTTTGTAAATATATCAGGTTCAATTGCTGAATTCCAAGGAAATGTGGTCAATTTTCCCACCAAAGAAACTGAGAGATTCAACAGACTGAAGAAGAACAATCAGACTGGATCTCTGACCATCATGAATATCAAAACCACAGACACTGGACTTTATAAAGCAGAGATCAACCACAATTATGGGACTTCAGAGTGGTTATTCAATGTTACTGTCAATGGTGAGGATATTTTTTTAAATATATATTTTTAAGTTTTACAAATTTAACTGAATTTTAGTTATACTGTTTTCAACACTTATGCAAAGTTAGTTTCACAATATTAGTTATAGAATTTGCTTCTAAATATACAGATTTTTTTCATAAATGTATTTACAAACGAATGCGTTATTAGAGGCTGTTTCTGTGAGCTTTTTATTCATACACTGCCTGTCATATTGGAAAGGCCAAGGCTTGTTTATTAACACTTTATTGAACACGTGTGTATATACCTCAGTAGATTATTTTGCTAAACAAATGCAACACATCACACCTTAACTAGCACTATGTTAAAAAATAAAACCGTAAAGGAGAATTTTACCCTGAAAATTTACAGTGACTGCTGACATACTGATCATTTTAAGATGACAGATACATCAATGTATTTTGGAGCTAATTTAAATTACAAACACCTAGTGAAAATGTTCTTCATCTCTCTTTTTACTACACTATTGTAGCAGTGTAGTATTGTCTACTACACTATATAGAGCTGTTGATTTTCACTGTTTGTTTTTTCTTGATCAGGTTCAGGTTTGTCTTCAGGTGCTGCGGCAGGAATATCTGTTATTGTTCTGCTGGTGTTTGCAGGAGCAGCTGCTTTTGCGTTTTACTATCGCCACAAATTACCTGATATAAGACGTAAGTATAACAGTCAAGACATCAGGAGAAATTTAAGTATTGTATTACAGTAGAATTTGAATAAATCATAAATCAATTTTTTTCTAATTCTGAAAAAGTATACAAAAATCCTGACAGTTAAAGCAATTTGTGGGTTTCTAACAGAAAAATAAACAAAATTCTAAATTATAAAATGAGATCTTTAATCCTTATGGTTTTCATTTCATTTAATCCTTATGGCTTGATTTTATATAAATTTCAGATTTCTGGTTTTTTGAATAATTTTATTACATATAAAATAAATAAGGTGTAGTACAGTACTTTTATTTTAAAGTAGAATTCTATTATTTTGCCCTTTCAGGTTTTCTCTCTGCTGAAAATACGCTGTGTGGAATCTTTAACACAAGTCCAGGTCTGTTATCCAAATCTACTATGAAGTACAAGTAATGATTGGATTAAGACATTTTTCCCTTTTCTCTGGTATTACAAAATTTTTAGGTGTGGGTTTGAGTATTAACCTTTGCTTTATTTTGAATTTTAAATATAATTTGTCATTTTATTATTATGTTATTAGAAAATGTACATTTGATTATTTCACTTGTGGTTAAAAATCAAGGGTATTCTAGCAAATACTGATTTGGTAAATTTTCAGAAGATACAACATTGGGCATTTTGTCATTTAATGCCAAAAAGCTACAAATAAAAAAAGATTTAAATGACAACAATATTTGAAATTTGTAGTTTTACAATCAAACAAATGTTTTACAAAACTTTAAATTCTATATTCATAGATAATCCATAGATTTTTCAAGCAGCCTCTTAATTTTGACCAAAACTATATCGTGTTTAAAATGTGTTCTGTCTGATTGGTCCAAATGCATTTATAATACTTCTGTTTCTATGTGCTGCTAAGAAGCGGAGCTGCATGAAGTGGAGATATCTGAACAGCAAAGTCTGATATGTAAGTAATAAAATATGCTATGTAAAATATGGAGAGGTGTAACATCAAAGATTTCACAGTCAGTATATAAACTTTTTTTTTTTTAACACCAGCTTCGTTGAAATTAGTTTTGAGCAATAATAACTGAAGTCTGTGATTGTTTAGTGTTGACCTGCCTGATATTAACACATTTGATTGGTTTGTGTATATTTGATCAGTCTGATTTGCATCTTTTTTGTTTGTGCTACTCTATATAGTTTTAATCGTTTTATTAACTGACACAGTCACCTCTGGTCTTGCCATTTATGATCACTAAAGGGCATTCTGGTTGTGTGTTCCCGGACTGCATTTCTCATATACCCCAGCACCCATTACATGATCATCTCCAACTGGTCCCTGTTTACATATTAGTTTTTTCTTTTTAGTATGTCCATTATTAATGTCCATACGAAACGGTTTTCACACCGGACGTAAAAGATGCTGTGATTTTGAGATCAAGCTAAAGCTTTCCTTGACATTAACAACACTGCATGTTTGGTTTTCAGATCAAAAGCAGTAACACAGGAGAATAAGAGTGTCTGCATCTCTACTAACAAGTCAGTTCATGTCGCATCATTGGTTATTATTTTTAATTCATTAACATTCAATCAAATACTAAATGAAATTAATTAATAATATTTACATGTTACCATGTTTATGTGCAGCTGTAAAAGATAAAACGAAGCAAGTGGATGTGAAGGAGGGAGAATCTGTCACTCTAAAGCCTGATGCTGTAATTCAGGGAGACGATCAGATACTGTGGATGTTTGGACCCGAAGAGACTCTTATCACTGAAGTCAATACCAGAGAGATCTCCAGAGGTGATGATGCTGATGGAAGATTCAGAGACAGACTGATGCTGGACTCTACAACTGGATCATTAAAGATCACAAACACAGCAAGCGAACATGTTGGGGTCTATAAACTGAAGATCATCAGCAGCACTGGGACTTCATACCAAACATTCATTCTTACTTTCATACGTGAGTATCTCAAGTTATTAAATGATATAATGGTCAGTGTTGAAAACTCAGAAGTGATGATTAGTTGCCTGTTCCATGATAGGGGTTAAACAAACTCAGGATATGGTTACTTTTAAGTTTATTAAACTAAATCATATCAGCGCAGTTGGGTTAAGTTTGTACCATGACCCTGATTACTAACTTTCTCTGTTACCTCAAAATTTGATACTGAGTTCATGAGTGTGTGCACATGAAGGCGGACAGGTGCAAACAGCTAATCACTTGCCTTAAAACAAAAGATACTGTGATTGACAGCTCGGTTTACAAGCAAAAATTATGGCCCAGTTCTAACACTTATCCCTTCCACTTACCCCTTCCTCTTGTTTCGCACATTCATGTGAAGGGGTAGAGGTGTCCTGATTTTTTTACTGCTTGGAGGTGTAGGGCCATGTTGCCTTTTAAACAAAGATTTTCAACAAATGATATTCATGTCACCATGTTTATGTGCTGCTGTGACAGATAAAACGAAGCAAGTGGATATGAAGAAGGGAGAATCTGTCACTCTAAAGCCTGATGCTGTAATTCAGAGAGACGATCAGATACTGTGGATGTTTGGACCGCAAGAGATTCTTATCGCTGAAGTCAGTACCAGAGAGATCTGCACAGGTGATTGTGCTGATGGGAGATTCAGAGACAGACTGATGCTGGACTCTACGACTGGATCAGTAACAATAAGAAACACAGCAAGTGAACATGTTGGAGTCTATAAACTGAAGATTATCAGCAGCACTGGGACCTCATACCAAACATTCATTCTTACTCTCACATGTGAGTATCGCAAGTCTTTAAATGATGTAATAGTCAGTGTTGAAAACTCAGAAGTGATGATTAGGTGTGTGTTCCATGATGGTGGCTAAACAAACTCAGGATATGATTACTTTTAAGTTTAATAAACTAAATCAAACTAGTGCAATCAGACTTTGTTTGTACCATGACCCTGATTATCAACTTTTTCGGTTAACTCAAAATTTGATCCTGAGTTCATGAGTGTTTGCACATGAAGACAGGACAACAGGGGCAAACAGCTAATCAATTGCCTTGATAAAAAAAGATATTGTGATTGACAGCTCAGTTTACAAGCACAAAGTATGGCCCGATCCCAATTCTAACACTTATACCTTCCACTTACCCCTACCTATTGTTTTGCACGATCAAGTGAAGGGATAGAGATGTCCCAATTTTCTACTTTGAAGGTGTAGGGGTAAGGGCCATGTAGCCTTTTAAACAAAGATGTTTCAGCACTGCACTACAAACGAAGAGGTTTGAGAAATGTCCCTAAGCTGTCTGTAAGAAAAGTCTGCGGACTGTGGCCCCGTTTACACTAGTGCGTTTTAGTTTTAAAACGGCGTTTTAGATCAAAAACGATCCGCGTCCACACTAGCATTTCACCTTGCGTTTCTGAACATATCTCGGTCCACACTATGCCACCAAAAACGTATATCACATGACCATTCGCACACTCTGGGCATGCTCGTTCAAGTATAAACAGGAAGCGTGTGTCTCGCTCGGCATTTGGTTATTGTTAGTCAACAAATTGTTAGTCAACAAACAAAGACTGGTCTGTTGTCTTCCGGTAGCATTAAAGCCGTGTGTTTATAGTCATGTGATAGGTGCTTGAGGAATAAGGGAAGGATACGCAATGACACAAAAGCCCCAACCAGGTAGCAAATCTTAGCAGCCCCGCCTCCGTTTACAGATGTCTCAGTTTTTCCCCATTCACACTGAGTCGGAGCAGCAGCATTTCAGAATGAAAACGGCTAATCAGGCGTTTCCGAAACGCTACATTTTCGACACTCGAAAACTCCGGCGTAGTGTGGACGGATGGCGTAACCGTAGCAAAACTTATGCGTTTTCAAACTAAAACGTATTAGTGTAAATGGGGCCTGTGAAAATGCTTTTTACAGCATGTCTGGTATAATGTTAATCTTGTATTCTTGTGGATACATCCATGAATATGAGAACAGCATAAATACAAAGTACAGTTTTGTGCTTCTTGCAATGCCTAGAGGCTCGAAAGCAAGATGCACTGAACTGCCTTTTGTTGACATTAGTTTAGAGCAGTGTGCTGCGCATTTTATCTTACTGATTAACCACTGGATCAACCATCTTGGTGCCGGGGCACTTCCACATTAGAGAGGTTAGTGCTCACGCAGTGCATTACACTCAAATTTTAGCAGTAAAGCAGGCGATACAGAAGATCTGCATCTCTACTAACAAGTCAGCTCATGTAGTGTTATTGGTTTTAGTTAATTAACATTTAATCAAATACTAAATGAAATTAATTAATAATATCCACATGTCACCATGTTTATGTGCTGCTGTGACAGATGAAACAAAGATGATGTTGGTGAGGAAGGGAGAATCTATCACTCTAAAGCCTGATGCTGCAATTCAAAGAGACAATCAGATACTGTGGATGTTTGGACCTGAAGAGATTCTTATCAATAAAGTCAATACCAGAGAGATCTCCAGAGGTGATTGTGCTGATGGGAGATTCAGAGACCGACTGATGCTGGACTCTACGACTGGATCATTAAAGATCACAAACACAGCAAGTGAACATGTTGGAGTCTATAAACTGAAGATCATCAGCAGCACTGGGACCTCATTTCAAAAATTCCTTCTTACTCTCATATGTGAGTATCGCAAGTATTTAATCATATAAATGTCACAGTTGAAAACTCAGAAGTGATGATTAGGTGCCTGTTCCATGATGGTGGCTAAATAAACTCAGAATTTGATTACTTTTAAGTTTACTAAACCAAATCAAACTAGTGCAATCAGGCTTTGTTTGTACCATGACCCTGATTACTAACTTTCTCTGTTAACTCAAAATTTTATCCTGAGTTCATGAGTGTATGCACTTGAAGATAGGACAACAGGAGCAAACAGCTAATCAATTGCCTTGAATCAAAATATACTGTGATTGACAGCTCAGTTTACAAGCAAAAAGTATGGCCCGATCCCAGTTCTAACACTTATCCCTTCCACTTACCCCTATCTTTCGTTTCGCACATTCATGTGAACGGGTAGAGGTGTCCTGATTCTCTACTGCTTGGAGGTGTAGGGGTAAGGGCCATGTAGCCTTTTAAACAAAGATGTTTCAGCACCGCACTACAAACAAAGAGGTTAGAGATATGTTCCTAGGCTGTCTGTGAGACAAGTCTGCGGACTGTGAAAATGCTTTTTACAGCGTGTCTGGTATAATGTTAATCTTGTATTCTTGTGGATACATGCATGAATATGAGAACAGGATAAATACAAAGTACAGTTTTGTGCTTCTTGCAATACCTAGAGGCTCGTAAGCAAGATGCACTGCACTGCCTTTTTTGACATTAGTAAAGAGCAGTGTGCTGCGCATTTTGTTTTACTGATCAATCACTGGATCAGCCATCTTGGTGCCAGGGCACTTCCACATTAAAGAGACTAGTGCTCACGCAGTGCATTACAGTTAAATTTCGACAGTAAAAGCAGTAAAGCATGAGAATCTGAATTTCTTTATCTCTACTCACAAGTCAGTTCATGTAGCATAATTGGTTTTAGTTCATTAACATTTAATCAAATGCTAAATGAGATTAATTCATATCCACATTTGACCATGTTTATGTGCTGCTGTGACAGATGAAGAGAAGATAATGTCTGTGAAGGAGGGAAAATCTGTCACTTTAAAGCCTGATGCTGTAATTCAGAAAGACGATCGGATACTGTGGGAGTTTGGACCACAAGAGACTCTTATTGCTGGAGTCAATGGAAATACCAGAGAGATCTCCACCGGTGATAGTGCTGATGGGAGGTTCAGAGACAGACTGAGGCTGGACTCTATGACTGGATCAGTAACAATAAGAAACACAACAAGCAAACATGTTGGGGTCTATAAACTGAAGATTATCAGCAGCACAGGGACCTCATACCAAATCTTCATTCTTACTCTCATATGTGAGTATCTCAAGTATTTAAATGATATACTGGTCAGTGTTGAAAACTCAGAAGTGGTGATTAGGTGCCTGTTCCATGATGGTGGCTAAACAAACTCAGGATTTGATTACTTTTAAGTTTATTAAACTAAATCAAACTACTGCAATCAGACTTTGTTTGTACCATGACCCTGATTACTAACTTTCTCTGTTAACGCAAAATTTTATCCTGAGTTCATGAGTGTTTGCACATGAAGGGGGACTAACAGGTGCAAACAGTCAATCACCTTGAAACAAAAGATACTGTGATTGACAGCTCAGTTTACAAGGAAAAATTATGGCCTAGTCTCAGTTGTATCACTTATTCCTTCTACTTACCCCTATCCAGGCCCAGATTAACCAATGGGCGTCATTAGCATGAGCCCAGGGGCCTGTGTGCCATTTGGGGCCCCTGCGAGGGGTGAAAATTATGGAGTGTCTATTTAGGTGCAAAGTGCAAATAGTGCACCTCGTTGGAATAAGCTATTTGCATGTTTTCTGCCCTTGAGTGGCTGATCAACTGAGACAATATAACTAAAGAGCACCACTAACAGCAGTCTGAGTGGCGTAGCTTGTAAAGTGCTAAGCAACATGCTTTGATGCGATCAATTCTTAACTCGGTTCAAATTCACCGCCCTCTGAACTCATTCTTCATTTTCTCTTCCCATTACATGTCATATTGGAAATACATTTATTTTTAAATGGGAAGGAAACCTTTTTAACAAATTAAAAATTATGCAAATGTGATAAAAAGTCAGAAGTACATTGTGCGTATTTAATAATGTTAGCCTATTACATATGAGTAAAAACAGCATCTAAATAGTTATTTTAAATATTCTATAAACAGTTATTTTCCATAGTCATATCTTAATAGAATTAATTTGTATTTACAATGTTAGCTGCTCTCTTCCGAACCCAGATTAGCCTGTAAATTATCATTTGCCACAACTAGCCCTACTGCACCCATAATTCTCCTACCTTTTAGCTCCGTTTGAAGAACATTTAATAGAAGGCAGATGGCCTTAATAAAGATGCTTTACTCTGTGTAAAACCATATTGCTTAGACAACTACATATTTCTTCTAAGCAAATAGTCACTATCATATATTATTATTAACATTTTTATTTACATTTTCAGAAAATGACCCCATGTATAAAAAGCATGGAGATTCTTTCTTTCTTTCTTTCTTTCTTTCTTTCTTTCTTTCTTTCTTTCTTTCTTTCTTTCTTTCTTTCTAATTAAACAGAATGCTGTAATTGGTTAAGCGCAGAAAGGTCAGTTTAGAATTAACCCACGCTAAATTGAGCAGACTATAGTGTGGTAGAGGAGAGGAAGGCTTTTTTATTAAGGCATGTTCCATGTATACACACCTTCTTCAAACAGACTGATGATGAGGAGGATGAGGGTATAGATGAGGATGTTATGGTAGCGTTATGAGCAAGCTAGCGTTAAGTATTGTAGGTGGAGAAGGCTAACAGCAGCGCAGACTGGATTCATCATGTGTCTGAATAGGAGAGAGATATAGAGAAAAAGCCCCTGAAGAGGAGAGTCGTAAGGATAAGAGGTATAGGGCCCTATTATACACCCGGGCAATAAGGTGCAAAACGTGTTTCCGCGACATGTTGCTAATTTTAGATCAACACAACTTTAATTTTTCCGTTTTCAGCCACGTTGTTTAAATAGCAAATACATTTGTGCCACTTTGTGGACTTATGGATGTTCCGGTCAAAAAAGGAAGAGTATTAATGCGCCTTGTTGGTGTGTTGCTATTTTGAGGATCTAAAATAGACTGCACAACTGACCAGCTGAGAGCAGGTCTATAGTCCAGCGCAGAGCGCATTAGTTGTGCGCCTCGCTTACACATTGCTTAAAACACGCAGGATGTACAGCAATAAGCAAATATCTTTACTAATTTAAAAGAATTCAATTATGACTTTCCACATAAATATAAAAACCACTGCCCCTAATTCTTCATCTCGGTGGGCTTTTTTTTCTGTTTATTCACGACAACTTGCTTTTGTATGTCACTTTTAATAATAGTATTGTTAATTATATGCATATTTATATTTGTTTTAATAAAAACAAGCTTTGATTTGTCCACGTGTCAGGTTTTGGACAATATGGGGCATAGCATGTGTGTTTGAATATAACTCAGTATTTTGACCACATTTCGTTATTATTGTTCATTTATTCGTTTGCTTGAAATTAGAACTGAACTTAGAAATAGTTTAGAAACTAATCTTTTTGCTTAACAAATGAAATTAATTATGTAAGCTAGCGCATTCGGCGGAATCCTTATCCTTATCCACGAAAGAGAGAAAGTGAAAGTATCATTCGCTAGATGGTCTGTTTAACTGTTTTCTTGCTAATTACACCTATAACTCATTAAAAGAATAAGCTCAACCTTATTAGACCATGAGCTCAAAAAAGGATTCTGACACGCCCTTAATGCATTTGCCCCCAGCGCTTTAGACTTTCTGCCTAGATCATTAAAATAGAGCCCATAGTGTGTGTGATTTCGGATACTTCCAGGTTTATAATCAAGTAGATCTATGCTGTTTGCCTAGTATTCATCACGAGAAGAGTAGAGAAGATACAGGGAGTTATGGAGGGAGACAGTGTAAGGCTTGAAGCTTACGCTGCTATTCTGAACCAATAGTCGGAAACAGAAAGCAGTTGAAGGATGGCGTGTTTAAATCCATTATTTATCTGACTCCATTGTAATTAATCTGACTCCACTAAAGTTGTTATCATCATTGATAAAAAGAAAGAATCTCAAAGCTTAAAGCAGGCAAAGTTGTTTATTAAGTTACATGATCAAATTTACAGACATTAGAATGAAACAAACTAACATACTGTATAAAGAAATTAGCTGTAACATATGCACTGCTGAGCAACAAAGACAGTGAAACTGCCTTTGTTAGCATATGAGGCTACGCACCAGTGTGCGGGAGATGCAGAGTAAAAGCCATTCTCCCAGATCAACAGTTACCTTTCATTATTATACCCTGAGCAAAGCATTGTCAAACATGAGTGAAAACCAACCCCCAAAACCAGCTGAACATGAGAGCAAAGTTGAAGAGATGAAGTGGGGGAGAAGTACATTAACATACTCTCCTCAGGTCATGACGCAGCAAATATGTTGTAGATTGAAATACAATTAATCAATGTCTCTGTTGATTTCATCACTACAACACTGAAGTCATAAACTGTCAAATGACACCAAACATGACAAAGTTATCTGAAAGAAAAACACAAGCAGATGAATTGTGTATGGTGAAGAGCACATGGTTACTGTAAGAAAATGGCAGAGATGTGTATTGGAGCTGTGAGGAACTCTGCCTCACCAGGATGACCCATCCCATGCTTGGAATGTCTCAGTAGTCCTTCATTAGCATAGAAGGAAAAGTATATAATATTTTCTCAGCTTACAACAGTATGGAGTCATTAAAAAGTGTGTGTATCATGGAAGACTCAAATTCATAGAACTGCATTGTAGTGGGATTATGTGTTATATGACAATAATTTGCTTTATAAATTTGAAGTTATACATTAAATGTATACTTTAAGAACTGCTTTAATGAAATTGAACAAATATACTGAAACCTATAAATTTTCACTACTTTTATTAGTATTTGTCTTTCAAAGTGTGCTTTAAATGCTTTAAAGTAAGTAAAATAAGTTACATCTTTGTAGACTATATATAATTTATTTTTTAAATGTAGGCAATACATTAGATTCATTTTTAATAAAAAAAAAAAAAAAACAAAAAAACATTATATTATATATATTTTTTTATTCAACTATAGGGGTGTGGCCGGGTAGGGGGCCCTGGGCCAGCCCTTACCTCTTGTTTTACACATTCATGTGAAGGGGTAGGTCCTGATTCTCTACTGCTAGGAGGTGTAGGGGTAAGGGCTATGCCTATGTAGCCCTTTAAACAAAGATGTTTCAGCACCACACAACAAACAAAAGAGAAATTGAATTGAGAAATGTCCCTAGGCTGTCTGTGAGAAAAGTCTGCGGACTGTGAAAATGCTTTTTACAGCATGTCTGGTATAATGTTAATCTTGTATTCTTGTGGATACATGCATTAATATGAGAACAGCATAAGTACAAAGTACAGTTTTGTGCTTCTTGCAATGCCTAGAGGCTTGTAAGCAAGATGCATTGTCCTGCCTTTTGTTGACACTAGTAAAGAGCAGTGTGCTGCGCATTTTATCTTACTAATTAACTACTGGATCAGCCATCTTGTTGTCGGGGCACTTCCACATTAGAGAGGTTAGTGCTCACGCAGTGCATTACACTCAAATTTAAGCAGTAAAGCAGGAGAATCGGAATGTCTGCATCTCTACTAACAAGTCAGTTTATGTAGTGTTATTGGTTTTATTTATTTTAATACTGAATGAAATTAATTATGTGCTCAATTTATGTGCTCCTGTGACAGATGAAGCAAAGATAATGTCTGTGAAGGAGGGAGAATCTGTCATTCTACAGCCTGATGCTGTAATTCAGAGAGACGATCAGATACTGTGGACATTTGGACCACAAGAGACTCTTATCAATAAAGTCAATACCAGAGAGATCTCCACAGGTGATGGTGCTGATGGAAGATTCACAGACAGACTGAAACTGGACTCTACGACAGGATCATTAAAGATCACAAATGCAGCAAGCGAATATGTTGGGGTCTATAAACTGAAGATCATCAGCAGCACTGGCACCTCATACCAAACATTCATTTTTACTCTCATACGTGAGTATCTCAAGTCTTTAAATGTTATAATGGTCAGTGTTAAAACTATATATATATATATCTCTATATATATATATATATATATATATATATATATATATATATATATATATATATATATATATATATATATATATATATATATATATATATATATATATAGATATCTATATATCTATATATATATATAGATATCTATATATATATATATATATATATATATATATATATATATATATAGATATATTATATATATTATATACATATATATATATATACATATATATAGATATATTAAGGGTGGAGCCGAACCCGAATACGGTATTCGGAAAGGCACGAATAGCTTGTTTTTACGAATACTTGATTCAAACAAATACTTGAAAAATTATTTGTATTCAAGAGCAAGAAAAACACTATATCAAATAGCAGCGTTTCCTCATGAGACCACAGTGTATGCCCGCGTGAGTGAGTGAGTGAGAGAGAGTGAGAGAGAGAGAGAGAGAGAGAGCGAGAGAGACACACACGCTCAGTGCAAAACGCGCCAAAGCCCGAAACTGAAAGCGAGACGTGACTTTTAAGGGGTTGTTTCATATGGATTTATTAATCATTCTTACTGTTCAGTGATCGCAAACTGCCGTAGTTTATTAAAGACGCAAACCTCTCACTGCACGTTAGCTGCGCGCCTTCAGCAGACCTCCTCATTCCTGCAGCACGAGAGCTTTATAATTGTTTATGCACGCCAAAAGTGGCGGATCTGTCTGGTGAAATATCTGACTGCGTGTCACCGCATCCCTAAGGACTGTTTGGCGAAATATTTGACTGCATGTCACTGCATAACAAACGACTGAAAGGATATAACTAGAGAACTCTCCACTGTGCTACTGGGTGAGAGCGTGTGGCAAGCCGTTTTAGCATTTAAACCTTGTTCAGACTATCCATAAATATATTTAGAGATATCTCTAATTATATTTTGACTTGTCATAATTATAATTCGACTAGTCAGATTGGAAATATCTGCAAATATATTATGACTGACTAGTCATATTCCTCCATTGACTTCCATTGAAAAATATTTGCAGATATCTCTAAATAAACAAACAAACAAACAAACTTTGTGTCTTTTTTGTGGCTGGCAGATGATAATAGCAGGGCTGCATCTTTTAGTATTATATAGAATACTTTTGTTCTGCCAGATCTCCCAGGCAGGGTTTGTATTTAGATTTATTTAGTTAATTTTAGTTTTTGGAATTCTGTCCATTGGAAAAAAGTTATTTCAGAAGAAGAACAGTTTTTTGAAGTATTATTTGTTTTTATTCTGTCTATTCAGTGTCCTTCAACAAGAACGGTGGTGGTGGGGTTCATAATATTCACAATGGTATTTTATTAGTTGTAGGTTTAACTATGGATGAGATAATGGCTTCTATGTTATTATCTTTTCAATGACATTTCTTATCACATGTTCAAAAACAACAGCCAATATTGCATATCTATAATTTATATAATAGGTATAATTAAACAATACTTTCACTATAACGTAAATTAGAAGTGTAATAGAATAATAGAATAATAAATAAATATATATTTTTGCGCCATTTTGAATTTTACTCGAATACAAATACAAATACAAATACTTTTACCCCCTCAACAAATACAAATACCGGCTGCTCCGCACATCCCTAATATATATATATATATATATATATATATATATATATATATATATATATATATATATATATATATATATATATATATGTGTGTATATATATATATATGTATATATATATGTATATAATGTGTGTGTATATAATGTGTGTATATATATATATATACAAAACAATCCTGGATTGTTTCAAATCATCAATAACCAAATCCAGCTAACTGAGTAATCCATGTACGAAGAACAGACCCAGGGATGGAAAATTATGTACTGCGTCACAGGATTAAAAATGTTGAATATTATTCTAAAGAAAATCCACTCTAAAAGTAAAACTATAAATTGCGCTAAAGACACATGAAAGTGTAAAGTCTGCCACCCACAGCAAATGTGGAAATTTGTTGCATATCTAACAAACCATTTATTAAGAATTGTATGTAATTTTGCTCACATGGAGAATTAAATATTAATTAAATTATGTTGATGTGTCGTTAGCCAGTCTTTCCATTGCTGATCATGATTTCAGGGATTGACAATTCTGTCCTTCACAACAATCACAAGCACACACACGGATCTCTGATCAGTTAATCCAGGTATTTTAATATACCTTGTGAACTTGTTTGTAGAACAAAATAAGCCAGAGATTAAAGCATCTGCCAAATTATCTCAGATCGTTTAAGCAAGGTATGAAGAATGGACCCCAGGTGCCTGTTCCATGATTCTAGCTAAACAAACTCAGGCAAATAGGATTAGTTTTGAGTTTACCTAACCAAAAACTTTCTCTGTTACTTTGATCCCACGTTCATGAGTGTGTGCACATGAAGACGGGACAACAGGTGCAAATAGTCAATCATGTGCATTGAAGGATAATAAATGTCAACTTTTAGTAATGTTAATAACAGTTCAGCAGACAATATCTTGTGGAAAAAATAATATAGTATGACTATTTGCCATTGTTGGATGATCTCAGCCTTTTACATTTTGCAGCATTTTTACATAACCTTACTCTTGTAACCACACAGAAAACAAAGAAATTATCATTAATTATGATAATTAATAATAATTATAATTAATATTTTACAATGTTCTTAAATAATTTATTAATAAACCTATGGAGGTCAAATTTAACACTTTTAGAAATTACACCTATACAAACTCTTCAGATCCACATAATGTTTTTTTGTATATTCCCAGTACTAATGTTGAAGGTAAAATTATTATTATTATTTTTTTAACTCATCTTTAAAGAGTTTTCATAATCGCTTCAGTGGTACTGTAATTTCTGTAGCCATTATTTTTTTTAAAAATTTTTTACCACAAACTCATTGAATCATGAATTGTTTTTGTTCAGTCCTGATAAAGAGCATCTGAAGGAAATTTGTCTTTGTATTTCTCTGTTTCTATGTGCTTCTGTCACAAATGAAGAGGATGTGATGTCAGTGACCGAGGGAAATTCTGTCACTTTAGACACTGACACTGAAATACAGAAAGGCGATTTAATCCTGTGGATGTTTGGAGATGATAATAGTCAGAGACAGATAGCTAAAATGGAAAAAGCCACAAAGACATTCGACAGTCCTGATGAGAGATTTAAAAACAAACTGAACCTCGACAAGAAGACTGGATCTCTGACCATCACAGACATTAAAAACAATCACACAGGACTGTACAAACTACAGATCAGCAACAGCAGCAGGGCAACCACAAGCAAGAACTTCAAAGTGCTGGTAAACTGTGAGTATTTTAGTGCTGTTGATGCTTTGAAATGCCTGCATGTAATATATTATTAACATGCGGTTACAATGCATAGTAATATTAACTGAGTCAATATTTTGGGGGATTTTTGCTAATAATAAAAAATTAATGTGTGTGTGTGTGTGTGTCTGTTTTAGTGCTGAAGGAATGTTCCCTTCTAGCTATTATTTTCATTAAGAAAACCCTTAAAATATTATTTTGCTTTTAGAAGTTATTTGGTAATTCTAACTATTATAATATGCTTCATTTCATTATTAATTCCTTTAGATTAAACTTTTTTTGTCTTTTTGCCAAGTGATTGACGATCAGAATTCTTTTTTTTTGTGTACTTTTTCAACAAAGATGAGAAAGTGTCAGTGACGGAGAAAGATGCTGTGACGCTAAAGGTTCATGTTAAAATTGGTAAAAAAGATGAGATACAGTGGCTGTACGGAGAAGATAATGCTCTTATAGCTGAAATCAAAGGAAAGAGCAGAGAGATCCACAAATATGATGTTGGAGGTGGGAGATTCAAAGACCGATTGATGGTTGATGACAAGACTGGATCTCTGACCATCAAGAACACCAGACCTGAACACACTGGACTTTATACACTACTGATCAACAGCAGCAAATGGCGCTCCTACAAACACTTCTTAATTTTTGTTAGAGGTGAGTCATGTTCAGACTTCATCTCTGGATGAAAACTGAAAAATACTTAATGGAGATCCCAAAATTACATGAATTTTGAAAATGTGCAAACATTTATCTGAAAATAACTGAATAGGATAAACTTTTTTTCAATAAGAAACATTTTACATTAACTGTGATGGAAACATGCGTGCACATAGCATATGCATCAATAAATTAATGTGATTTTTGTTTTAACAATTCATGTGATAACATAAATGGCATTATGGTGACGCAATAATGGACAAATCAGCAGACCGAGCACATTGTAAATGATCTGGAATTATGTTTTTGTCACACTAAAATACTTAAACCAAAGTCTGTCATTACAGTGGTTCAGTATTATGCCCTCCAGTATTTTAAAGCCAACGTTTAGTTTTTCATTGGGAGTCTTTGTGACTTGATCTAATCAACCTTTTTTCAATCTTTTCTCTAAGCGAGTATGATTTTAGGAAAGCAGGGTAACAGCACCACTCTGAATGTCAATGCTGAATTACAAAGAGATGATCTGATCCTGTGGATGTTTGGAGACGAAGACAACCTCATAGCTCAAATGAATGGAGAAACCACAGAGACCACATTTACTAAAACTGACGAAAGATTCAGGAACAAACTGCTGCTGGACAGGATGACTGGATCTCTGACCATCAGAGACATCACAAGCGAACACTCCGGAGCTTATAAACTACACATCAGCAGCAGCAACAAGCCCATCTACAGCTCATTCAGAGTCTTTGTGTTTGGTGAGTCTTCCAGTTTAAAGGACTTTACTATCAGTAATACATTATTGGCATAGATTGGTTTGAATAGCAGTTTTCATGATACAAACCACTTAAAAGCTGAATTGCAGACAAAAAATATGATTCTTATTTTTAATTTAGAGTGATGCCTTGTGCTTACAGGGCTGGCGCGTCCATAGAGGCGACCTAGGCGGCCGCCTAGGGTGGCAGTATAGAGAGGGCGGCATCCGCGACACCCTTACCACCCGCGTCCTCAGTTATGTCCGCGACACCTCCCTCACCACCCGCGTCCTTAGATATATTTGCGCATAGACGACACCTCCATCAGCACCCGCGTGTCCTCAGTTATATCCGCGCATAGGGTGGCAGAATAGAGGTCCGCGACACCCGCGCGTCCTCAGTTATATCCGCGAATAGGGCGGCAGAATAGAGAGGCCGGCATCCGCGACACCTCCCTCCCTCCCTCAGCAGCCGCACGTCCTCGGTTATATCCGCGCATAGGGCGGCAGATTAGAGGTCTGCGACACCTCACTTCATTTTCATAACCGGTCACATTCGTTTTCACATTGGGGTTGAGGGCGGCGTAACCGTCCTCTGCCTAGAGCGGCAGTTCAGCTTGCTTCGGCCCTGTGTGTTTATCAATGTATATGAAGTCAAAAAAATGTCTATATTGCAGAAATTTTCATTCTGACTTTAGACAGTTATGCAGTGTAATAATGGTATTAATTCAATCTTTTGATCCTGATTACAATGTAAAACATTTTTAGTTTTAAAACCTGAAAAACAAGAATGTTATTAGTAGCCTGCATCTAAGTGATAATTAATCTATAGGTCTAATTACATGTGGAAAGAAATTAGAATTTAGTCTCGTTACTCCACTCACTTTCCTTCGGCTTGGTCACAGGTTTATCGGGGTCGCCACAGTGGAATGAACCACTAATTACTCTGGCATATGTTTTAAATGGAAAATGCATTCCAGCTGCAAGCCTAGCACAGAATACACCAACTTCAGTGCTGAAAAACACCCATTCACTCTCTCATTCACACACACACACACACATACACATACACCATAGAGCACCCAACCAGAACATGCAAACCCTACACAGAAACAGGTGATCTCTTATCTTGCTGTGAGGTGACAGTGCAATCCACTGCACTGCCTGTTTTGTTACTTCATATTACTAAATAGTGACAGCTGCTTTCTAAGCAGTGCTTTATGAAGCTT